TTCAATTCAATTCAATTCAATTCAATCCCCATGGTCACATGATTGAAATTTGGATGCTTGGCAATTGGTTCATATTTATAATGCTTGTATTGTCAAGTGATTTCCTTTTGTTACCTTCTCACAAGAAAAGTTGATGGGGAAGCCAGATTCATTTAACAACTATGTTACTAACTTAACAACTGCAGTGATTCAATTAACTGACAAGAAAGGTCATAAATGGGTCAAATTCACATAACAATTGTTTTCCTTAGGAACAGAAATTTTCGGCTCAAATAAGTACAGGACTAACTGTACTTATTTAAAAAAAAATAATTTCAGAGAATCGGAAACTTTTAAGTATATCTAGAAGCATATTCATTTTGCCAATTTGTGTAATAATTGTTTACTAGTAGGGAAAATATATGTGTTTTTGGAATAAAATCAAATTGATCTATGTGAGTAATTTTATTTCCAGACATTTTAGGTTGTTAGCTAATAATTTCTTGTAGGTTTGAAAAACTATATTAAGAAGTGAAATGATCGTCTAAGTCTGTATTCCTGAAAATGTTTACCTAGTTTAAAGATTACAGCTAGTTTCCAAGACTCTGGTAAGGGGTCTCTCCAATGCAAGTATTGTATAAAAGTAAAAATCCAGGTATTAAGAAATATTTAAATGTATTATTAAATTGTTCTATGCATCAGAACCTGGAGATTTGCCATTTTTAATAACAGTGATTCTGGGTGGCTTAAATGTTTATTTTAAATGACCAAATTTTAAAATAATTAAAATAATGATTTAAAAAACTATTATTTAATAATTATAAATTAAAAAAATTAAAACAATAATTTAATAATATAATGGTTGAAAGAAACATTCAAATTCTCTTATAGCTTTGGTTTTTCTATAACTGTTTGGCTGTTGCTATCGTTAATTGCAATATGCTTTTTTCCCTTTAGGATTCCCTCCTCTCTCTCCCTCCCCCCGGGTTTATTTAGCAGCATTTTAGGAATTCATGACATGTTCATAGCATTTTGCTTAATAAAAAAATAATTGAGTCATTGTTTTGTAGCTGTTTATAAGAACTAGCTGAGCTGTACTATTTTTTCATCAGAATTACTCCCCCTAAAAGGGTTTTTAGATTGAGAAGTACAATCTGTATAGTTGTACTTTCTCTGAAATATATTTATTCAAGATTGGAACAGTGAAGTACCATGCATATTTGAGGCAATCTTTTTTCAAGTGGAATCTATCTACCTTGCAGGCTAGTGAGAATAAAAAAATAAACATTTCATGTATTTCTGTGCAAAATTTTTAGCCTCTGAGATGTATTTAGCTCAAAACTGCTTTTTCCAACTTGAAACAGTCTCTTCCAAGTTAAGAATACTTTTTTTTAATTTACCAGAAATATTCCAGTAAGAACTCTGTCAGACTACTATCAGATTGAACCTTTTGAATTTGAAATATTTTGCACACTCTTTGATTAATATTTAAACTCCTTGGTTCAGTTGTTCTGGGACCACCATATATGGCAGTTCTTTTTTGTTCCTTGCTGTTCCAGTCAAAAATTGTGTGTGTTTAGGAGAGCATTGGGGTTCACATTTCCAGTCACGTTGGCCTTCACTCCTGTCCCTGCTTAAATTAAATGATTAATATTATTCTTAGAGATTCTGTTTTGGACATATTGCTGAATTCTGGTTTAAGCAAGTCCAGATTTAGATGCTAAAGCAGCATATGAAACAACAGTATTTCTTGATCAGCTAAAAGTTATACTGCCACAGCATAATAAATTTTAAATGAAATAAACTTGCAATTGAACTGAACATTGTGCTAATGACTGAAATTATTCTTTTTAGTACAAATAAAGCTGAATATCATAGAGAATCATTGGATGAAAGCAATAAAAAGGTATAGTGAGAGGAATTTTCTTCTGTGGTTGAGAAACTTCATTACACTATTTTGATGATGCCTGCAAATTAGTCCTTTCTCTTTGTAACACTTTTCTCATTTAAAATTATGCATTTAAAAAGGGCTGATTCAAGCCATCTAGTCTACCATGTCTTGGCACAACCAAGAATCAACATAATATCCTTGATAAATAGTTTTCAGACATCTATTTCAGGACAATCAGTAAAGAGAGCCTACCACTTTACTGAAAAAATTGCTCTTCTCTTACTGTTAGATCGTTTTTTCAGGTGGAATTTTTCTTCCTAGTACTTACATTATTCCATGAGAAAGCCAAACCTTCAGAGTAATACCATTTAAGGCACTGGAAAGAACTATAATTTTGCCAATTTCCTGATTTAAAAAGTACATGTCTCTTAATATAGTATAACAAATACATTTGCCTTTTTTGCAACAGTAAGTAGCACTGCTGAGTGATTTATTTCACTTTCACCTACTATTTTAGTGGAGCCAGATGGCTCTGCAGTTCCAGTTCCAGAACTTGTCAGATGGAGAGCTGAACCTGGGTTTAAGACATGAGCATTCAATGGGATAAGCTGCCATTACTTGGCTCAGCTCCTACCCACCTACCAATTTGAAAGCATGCAAGTGCGAGTAGATTAATAGGTACCACTTCAGTGGGAAGGTACCAACGTTCTGTGTGCCTTTGTCATATAGTCATGCTGGCCACATGACCATGGAAATTGTCTGGTTCCTTGCACCAAGAAACTTGAGATGAGCACCGTGCCCTGGAGTCAGACATGACTGAGCAGAAAACCTTTACCTTTTCTATTTCAATATCTTTTTTGCCAGTACATGTAGTCCTTAACATATTCATTCAATTACTATTCAAAGTTACAGCAATGCTGATCTAAGGGACATAAGCCCAGAAGGAAGGGATAAGAATTATTTACTTTGTAAATGTTCTTTTATACTCAAAATTATAATTCCTCTTATAAATTCATCAATGGTTTATGTTCCTTAGATGAGTCAATCTTTTTGAGTTATTTTAAATAGAAAATGGGATGATTATTAATCAAATGTAAACCTTTGCTTCTAACAGGAAAATATATTACCAGCAAATACTAAAAATGTAGCACAAGGGAAGAAAATAATGCTATCTGATCTGAATAATTTAGGACTTAAGAAAAATATGACAATCAAAGTAAGTTCTGATTTTAAATTTCAACGTATTTTGTATAATAAGGTTCTTATAGCTACAAAGATCTAGCTAAATTAATACAAATAGTCCCAACTTAACAACTTTTTACTGTTGTTAACATTCAGTGATAGTGCTAAACAAATGGTAGTTACAATCATCCTTGAAGTTATGGAAGTTTCAATGTCCCTGTGGTCACTTGATCAACATTCGAGTGCTTGCCAATCAGCCTACGTTTCAGTGCACATTTCAACTTCTCTCGCCTGCCTATCTATCACTCACCCCTCCCCCAGGCCTCCCAATTTCTACCCTTTGGAACACCCTAACTCTGTCACTGCTGCCTGCTCTCCCTTCCTCTAGTGACCTTTGTTGTATTCTGCCTTCTGCTGCTGGTCCAAGATTGCAAGGCTTCGCATAGTCCTGGCTGCCTTTGCCTGGGACCACCATCGCATTTTCTGCACTGACTGCATCCCACTGCCTCTTCTTTGGCCAGGCCTGGCAAGTTCCTCTTTGGCCGACAAAGCTTTGCTGTACTCTCTGAGCACATCTTTGGGCCACACCCTCACCCAGTGCTTGGATCCCAGGTCAGCAGAGAATGGAAGGTAACAGTGAAAGTCATGTGGCGGCAGCAGGGAGAAAATGGCAGAGCAGGCTGCCCAAAGGATGGAGATGGTGAAGATAGACTGGTGGGAGGAATTGAAGTGGAGGCAAGGGCAGTGCAGTCTCATACCAAAGGGACACCACCACACCTGGCTGGATAATGATTCTGTAAAATTTTAATTTCATTTTGATAAGAATCCTTTAAATTTTTATGCTTTGAGTAACTTTGTTCATGTATTCAGTTGTGATAAATATGTACTTGAGTGAGTAAATCTAATGTTAAAGACAAGCTTTCAAAAATCGTTTCTTTTCTAGGGTACAATAACAGATTTTAATAATCCTAGTGAATTCTACATACAAGTCAATTCTCCTGAAGTTCAAAGTAATATTAGAAAACTAACAGTGAAACTGAAAAATTACAAGGGAATTAATCAAGAATATACTCCTGTCAAAGGAGAAGTTGGTGTTGCAAAATATACTCTGGATCAGGTAAATTAACTTTAGAGTAGACATACTGACCATTTAGTGTTTTGCAGACTATTGTGGATGTCAGGGCTTCCAATTGGGGGTACAACAAGTTTCAGAAGAGAGGGCCACTGTATGTGTTTTCCTGGAATTTTGCAACGTTATGGAAGGCAGGAAGAGAAATTATTTAAGTAGATACTAAATGTGTTTACATGCACGGCATTCAAAAAATATCTTTTTGACTGAACAATTGTAGATGCTATCCTGAAGTATAGATTACCAGCAATATAGCATTTCTTTTTATATCAGGTCAATAGATTCATATTTATTTTTTGACTAAGCATAATTGTGGTGTTTAATGGTTAATAACTTTTTATTTAGCCAAAGCAAAAACTGCCATAGAAAATTGCAGCACAAAGTTCTGGTTTCTTTTTTACAGTAAAATAAAAATTGATACTGATAAAATTAAGAGAGATAATTCTAATCTTGTTTCTGTTGTTTAAAATAGGTGTCACCTGAAATATTTCATATTAAGTGTATAAGTAATATTGAAGTTAATATAATCCTATACGGCCTATTGAAAGGATGGGTCTGTATGTTAGGAAGAACAGATGATTTGATTTGCTTCCATTAACTAAATAATTTAAATATATAAAATTATACTGAGAAGTAGTGTTTGAATTGAAGACAACTAGTAAAGAAGATCATAGTAAAAAAAACTGCAGCTAAGTAATTTGTTCACATTCAGACTTGGTGCAGGGTACTCATAAAAGAGATAGATATCATTACAAAGAGCACTCAAGTACTGTATATTGACTATGGAAAAAGAGAAAATATACTACTACACAAAATTAAAGGATTGCCCGAAGATATTTCACAGATCCCACCCTGCGTAAGTATAAATTTAAATATCTAAGAAACTATGGAAAATGTACCATATCTGAGAATATGTTAGTATCCAAATTTTGTTTTCAAGAGAATATAATGTAACAAAATATTCTGAATTTTTTTTAAGTATGGATCAAAGGTTTAGCTATTTTTAGTTTGTGCTGTACTTATGACATGAGAGATTTTTGATGCAATAAATTTTATCCTGATTCTTGCTCAAGAATCTTTAAATGTTGGTTTCCTTTTTGGTAATCTGAATGCAGAATGAGATTAAGCAGATGCATTGAACAGTGGAATAGCTGCACACAGATATTTTTAAAAGAAGAGTTTTTAAAAATACAGTAATTATCATTATTTTTCCTCCAAGATTTTCACTATTCAAGAACTTATGTATATTCTAATAGTGTGCTGTTTTAAGTTCTTTTTAAAGTTCTTTTTAAAGTAGGATAACCAATTTTCTAACCTACATTTTTTTAGGCCATTAAGTGTCGCGTTGCTAATGTTCTTGATGCAAAACAGTGGAATGAAAGCTACAAGAATATTATTGCTCCAATTCTTATAGGAAAATATTGTTCATTAATTATCACTGATGTTTCGATGGAAGATATGCCCTGTTTTACAGTAGATGCTGTCTTGTCAGATTATGGTAAGTTTAGATAACAGTAATTCATATTTTTGTTATAACAATTGTTTATTAAACAAGGATTCCTACAATGAAGTTTAATGAACAAACTTGAATTTTACAAAATCTACATTTATTCCTGTTACTATGTCAGAAAACATGTAGAAAGAGAAAAAAGTATCATTGAATACTTTGAATAAAAACTTTGTTTGCTGTGCTTTAATTTTACCACAAGATTACCCATGACATTATAAATAAGCATTTTTTCCACTTAAAAATATTTTGCAATCATTCACATCAGTCAAGTATATTTATATTTTATTCCAAAAAAAATTCTTAAATTGCAATTCTAGTCTTTAAAATTATTTGAAAGCAATTATTTAGAAGAGGTCTACACAATTTGTAGATAAATTAAAAATAATCATAAAAAACGACCTCACATGCTGATCAGCTGTTTAGTTAGTGGAGCAATAAGCATTGGAGCTGGTAGTGGCAGTGAAGCTTGGAAGCATTCAGTAGCATGTATTTTTGCTGCTTGGGAGTACCACATGTGACCTGTGGTCCATGGTTTAGAAGCTCACATGAATGCTGTCTATTGCATTAGGTCAATTTTTCATACTTTTATATAAACCTGAAAAAATATGGTGTTTTGAATAATAATTTATTTAAGTTA